CACTGGGCTACAGCATCTCCCTACCTGGCTCTCCACCAGCATGGCCATGTCCATGAACATGTCGTGCAGCTCTCGGATGCTGTTCTCCAGTTTGATGATCTCGCTGTGCCGTGTCTCAATCTCGTTCAGTGCCTGCTTGGTGATGTTTGAATCCATAATGATCTGCAAGAAGACAGGGTTACTGAACTCTGTGCTCAGCCCCTCGGGTGCTGGGATTAGGGGCATCAAGAGAGGGAAGAGCAAGAGCCCCGGAGCTTCTCCAGCCCCCATCCTCCGGCCAGGATGCATTCCTTGCTCAGGTAGCAACCTCAGGCCAGATCTGAGCAGCCAGGTCCCACCTCCTGTACTGGGGCCACTGGCAGCACGGCCACCAGCCAACCCCCGCCCCAGTGCTTACCCCAGAGGAGAAGATGGCTGGGTTGCCGCTCTCCAGCATGTCCTCCAGCTCCTCGCTGGTGGTGGTCCTGCCAGCTGCAAGTGACACAACACGGGTTAACCATGAGCTTGAAGGTGTCCCTGCCTGTGGCAGGAGGGTTGGACTGGATCATCTTTGAAGGTCCTTTTCTACCCAAACTGCTCTGTGAGTCCATGATCCTGTGATGTGACTACAACAAAGATCCCAAGTCCCAGGAGACAGGGCTGAAGACAAGCTATCTGAATGTAGACCTCAGCCACCCTGGCACAAGGCCAAGGTCTGGGCTGAAGACAGGGACCTCTGCGGCACAGCTCGGATATGGCCTGGGTGGCCCAGGTAAGATCTTAAACAGCTCCTGGGCCCACAGGCAGAAGTAGGAAGACCCATGTGAAGCTGCTCAGACAACTAGGATCTCCAAGCTCTGAGAAGCTGCTGCTTTGCAGCAAGACAATGACCTGACGCCGTCCGTACCCTGTGCGAGTGCAGCGCAGCCTGCTTAGAGCTGCAGGGGAGGGCTCAGCTCCACCAGCTGCATGTTCAGGGGTCTAAGGAGCTGCATAACGTCCATGTACCCTTGGGCAGATCACCCTCCACACCTTCCCCAGCTCCAGGAAGGGTCCACAGCCCATTTCCAGTTACTGTTAAATGTTTTAGGATGACAAAGCATCACTCCCAGCATGAGTGACCCATGACACCTCCTTGCCAGCTCTTCCTGCTTCTTGGCTCCTCGCTTTCAGGTGAAACCACTCTGATTCCACGAAGGGAGAACAAGGGCTCAAACAGCACAAATTTACAAACCCTCCTGCTGACTGTGCTCAGCTCTGAGCAGAGACAAGGAGGAGTGTGCCAGGCACGGTGCTTCAAGGGCTTCTCACTCTGCTCGCTTCAAGCCCTAGCGACAGCCTCGAAGGCAAGCAGTGGCATCAGCTCCAGGGGATGCCACGTCTCGCACGGGCAGAGGTGGGATGGGATGCAGGATACATGTTCTCATCACCTCCTCACTGCCTCATTCTCCTCCCCAAAGCTGTGACGAGGCAAAGGACGAGAGCAAAGACATCATAAGCATTAACAACCAGCCAGCCAGTGTAGGCTTGGCCAAAGTCCACAGCTGGTCAGGAAGAGCTTGCTTTAATGTTCAGCCAAAGTACAAAGTCTGGAGGCTGCATCTCACCCCCGCTGTCCAGCACAGCGCTTGCCAAAGCCATATAACCAACATGCAGGACCCTAGAGGACTTCCCAGGGAATCCACTGCCTTCTGGCTAGATTTCCTGGTTTGGAAGGCTGTCGTTAGCTCTTTCACAGCAATAAAATCAGATGAAAGAGTCCTAGGTATTTGGCTGATCTGCTGCCTGCATCCCCACAGAGCTACTGCACAGCCACAAACGGGAATGAACGGGCTCAGTCTATGCAAGGTGACCACAAAGGGAGGAGAGCCTAGGGGAAAACTTTGCCCTGAAACTTGGCAAAACCCTGGAAAATCATGAGAACTGGACCTCTGCCTCCTCAGAGAGCTTTAGAGTACATCTACCTCCTACTTGGCATCTCTAGAAATAAAAGTTTCCTGGGGAGAAGCAGACTCAGCCTTGAGCCAGCAAAGAGATAATGGCAAGAGAAGATGCCCAGGTCACAGGGCAGCAGGGCCATCAGAGGCTCTGGGACAGGCAGACATGAAGCCACCGAGGAGACTTCCCACCTCAAGGCCACTGCAGAGTCCTTGGCCCTGCAACGCCCAGCTGGATGGAGTGACCGTCCCCACCAACCAGCTCCCCGGGGACGGGGCAGGAGCAGCTCCAACAAGACGTGCAGGACCCTGGGGAAGCTCCCAGGGAAGCCTCTGGTGCCACAGCTCAATACCCAGCGCCCGGCTGATGCTGAACGCCAGTTTGCCCAATTCTGTGTGTCAGACGCTCTATAAATAGGGAAGACTTCAGGCACCTCGGGGCTGCAGAAGTCAAGCACGTCACGGCTGAATTCATTGTAAGGGCTCAGCTGCGCTCCTTCGGCTTGCGGCATCCCTCCTTCCCACGGCAGGGCTGCACGAGCACCCACAGAGCAACAGCAAGGGCTCAGCTTGGAATTGCTGAGGAAAAAGGCACCATCCCAAGGCTGGGATCCTCTGTCTGGATCTGGCTTTCAAGCTCTCATTAGAGAGCTCTCACGGCGAGGTGCGTAGCACCGGCCAGCCCACCTACGCGCGTGGAGGTAACAGGTATGAGTGACCCGATCCACTTGGCTGCTCCCCAGCTCAGACAGGCACAGCACTGCCTGCGGTGGTGTTGGGATGAGACTTCAGCTATAAAAGCCAGCCCAGCACGTCATAAACTGCCACCTGCCTCCCTGTCCCTCGGGACCCCTTCTGCGGGGGCCAGCTCCCAGCGCTGCGCAGGCATTTCCACCTGACGAGAAAGTTTTAGCTCAGATAAATCCCACGGTCGTTCTTGAGATTAAAGTGTCACAGGAATTCAAAATAAAACCCGTCTTGGCACTGGGGGTTCTGGGACCACCAGAAGTGTCTGGAGGAGCTGCTGGGGCTGGAGCAACCCCCCTACTCCCCTGGCTCAAGGGCAGTTTGGGATGCAACCACAGCTTGCCTCTCTGCACATCAATTAACCTGGTCTCGCACAGTGGGGCGGAGGCTGATTAATTCTTGCAGCGCCTCTGGAGACGGCAGATGCTTTATTTTTGGCTCCTAAGTCTCGCACATAACAAAACCGTTCATAAAAACAAGCAGCGTCTGTGCAGCACCTCCATGGCTTCAAAGCCACTACAGAAAGCTCCTCCAAGCTTCAAATCCGATTTCTCCAGGAGCAAAACCAAGCTAGATTGAAGATGTCATTTCTCGTAATGGACAAAACCGAGAGGGGAAAAAAACCCCAAAAATCACACAGGACAGCGTGATGGCTCGAGCGTGGGGAGACCAGATCCCAGCAGCAGACACGGGGACACCGCTGAGGGGTGGGACGGTCCAGCCAGAGGACAGCTGCCGAGCATCTGTTGCGCCGTCACCCAGCCCAGATGAGTGGCATCCAGCCACCCCTCTGTGGCACCTGCGTCTCGGTGGGTTTGGGAGCAGAATGTGTAAAAGAGGGTGAGGTAAGGATGAAGGCTGGGGCAGAAGCAGTGGGAGAGGAGAGGACGCCCACTCCATCATGTCAGGCAGGCTCCTGGGCTCGGCGTGAGCAGGATGGGCAGGGGGGACGGCGAGGGTCACTGACACAAAACCTCTGGAACACACAGACACGGCGGTGCCTGCACAAGGAGAAGGGGCAGATCCTGAGAGGGTTGTGGGGAGCCCCGGAGGGTGGCTATGGCCCCAGGCAGTAACTCTACATCACCACTTCTTCTGCAGCTGTCCTACTTCCAGAGCAAGAAGCAGATGCGGTTAGGAGGGAGAAGCTCGCTGGGAGCTGGGGAGCCTCCCCAGAGCAGCTGAGAAGTCCCTGCTCTCATACTTTCAAAACCCAAGAGATTTACTGGCTTTGCTCTCAGAGCTCCCGGCACTTTCTATCTTTGGATTCATCAGCTGAAAATGAGAGCTGAGGATTTCGTAGGGCTTTGCGCAGTCACCACATCCCAGCTGAGCTCTGTCCGAAAGAGCCTGTTCGAGAGCCCCCGAGGAGCAGGGACGGGAGGTGCTGGCTGGGACAGCCCAGGGCAAGCAGAGCCCTCTGCCCAGGAAACACGCCTGATAAAAACCTCAGTCAGCTTGTTGCTTTTGATGAACCTTTTTGCCAGAAGAGATTTTCCACTGTCCTGACGGAGGAATCCAGCTTTGGCAAAGGATCGTGTGTCTTCCCAGCACAGACCCCGTCCTGCACCTGCATCTGCTCAACACCTCCACCCCAAAGGGACAGTGGGTCTCTCACCATCACTAGGACACCTCTGCACCCACAGCAAGTCCTGAGCTGCCTTCTCAAGGTCGCGGGTTCGATTCCCGTTCGGTCCCCATGTGTTGCCTGATCTAGTCGAGAGGCGGTGTCCCTGGCGGCAGGGAGGCTGGATTAAAATGATCTCGAAGGTCCTTTCCAGCCTAGGCCATTGTATGATTTCTATGATTTCTCCTTGCACCCCATCAACACTCTGTTGGGCACTCACAGCCCAGCAGGATGGACAGAGCAAAGACAAGTATAATTTAATGTATCTCCAAAATTTACACAGAGCGGCAGAGTCCTTTCAAAATCCAGGAGCAGAAAAACAAGAGGAAGGTTACTTTCAGGTCTGCAGGCAATTAAGGACCTGGCTTAAGTCTTTCAGCCCTTTCAGATCTTCTCCTCTCTTAGGAGGGAGACATAGGGATACCTTAAATCCCAGTTTACATTGCAAGCCACCCTAGTGGCTGGGGATCACCTAGAGAATGACGTTAGCTGACAAATGAGTCAGTCAGCTGGAGCAGTGACACACTCATCATCCTGCTTTACATTAAACGTCAAGCTCTTGTTGAGCCTCATGTCAGTCAACGATTCCATTCAGCTAGTGTGAAACATTTCTGTTATTATTACACATCATAAAGACTAATCTTAACAGAGAAAAGACTTGTGCAGCCAAGTCTCCTACTAGCCCTTCACAGAAACTATCACACCCCACTGGCACTCCAATTCCCAGGCATCTGCAGCTCGTGAAGGACGCTGCCACAGCTGACCATCGAGGACATCATTCTGGCTCAGAGATATTCTTTTATTCATGCTGAGTTGTGAAAGGCAAGCAAACCACCCATTTGTCTGTGAGAAAAATAATCCTGGACTGGGATTCGGACTTTTTCATTTTGAGCACAAAACCCCATGATGGCTCTCTGACAACAAGATTACTTGTAAAAATCCCTTTTAATCTCTGCATGCCCTGACTTACACCTTACTTGGCTACTGCCCTAACTATGGTGTTGATATGGTTCCTCTTTGCTGGGCAGTGACCACGCTTCTCTAAAACTAACCGGGTATCACTGATTGCCCAGAAGAACCATCAGTGGAGCAGTTTTTTGGGACAACCAGGGCTGGATTTTTAAGTGAGGGGCTCTGGATGACGCAGGGAGATCTTAGCACCATGGTGGTGATAGCCCCGGAGGTGTCACCTGGGGCCCACATTTGGCCTGAAGACACCGCTACTGCTGCTAAAAGCCATCAGAGTCCTGGGTCCAGGGAGATGCCCGGGGCAGTCACCGAGGCTTGTGTTACTCCTGCAGCAAGGAAAGCCGCTGGCAGCAGCGAGTGCCCCCGTCTCACAGAACCACGGACTGGTTTGGGTTGGAAGGTACCATAAAGATCACCTAGTCCAGCCCCTGTCACGGGCAGGGACACCTCCCACCAGCCCAGGTTGCTCAAAGCCCCGTCCAACCTGGCCTTGAGCACTTCCAGGGCTGGGGCTGCCACAGCTTCTCTGGGCACCCTGTGCCTGTGTCTCACCACCCTCACAGGAAAGAATTTCTTCCTCAACCTACTCTCCTTCAGTTTGAAACCGTCTGAAACTGATCCCACTTCTCGTTTTATATTTAGTTCAGCTCACCCGTGATGAAAAGCACTCAGAAGAAAGGCAAATCAATTCCCACTAGCTGCTTTGAATTCAAAATCTGCTGCAAACAAGGAAGAAATTTCTCCCCCTGCGCTCTCCGCGCAGCACTTAGGAAGATCTGAGGGGAGATTTTGGGCTTTGCTGGATGGGGATCGACACTGACATGCAAGGTACCACCACGTGTCCATCTCCCAGCAGACGCTGTGTCCCAGCTGCTCCCATGGGTGCACATACAGCCCCCGCACACCCCCGGATTTTTCTGGGGGAGCTCCGTGCAGCTGCAGGAGCAGCTCCGATCCGGTGACAGCCAGCACAGAATGCGGCCCCGCAGCCCGGCTGTGTTCCCCCTCCGGGATTACTCACTGATCTCCAGCTGCCTCTGAATCCTGCCCTTGCAGCGCTCCCGGTAGTCGGTCTGCGTGGCGTTGTACTCGGACATCACCTCCACGAACTTCCGCGACAGCGTCGAGTGCTGCGGAGAGGAGAGGAAGAGAGAGCCAGGGTGAGGGTCCTGTGGGAGGGAGAGACTGGCCATCCCCGAGCACCTCTAGCAGCCCACAAAGCATTTCTAGCCCAAAAGCTGCTCCGAGGAGTGTGATGAGTGCGAGGGGGGCTGGTGGCAGCAGGTGACATGGCTCTTGGTGAGGCGTGGACTGGATGCATCCCTCACCCAAGCCCAACCCAAGCAGAGCCTTCAGCCCCCAAATTGCTGGACGCAGTGCAGCTGGTGCACAAGTCTCAAGTGAAGCCAAATCTGATACCACCTCAGGCAAGAAACGCTCATGTGCGTCTTTGGCCACACAGCAGGAGCCACAGCCCACCTAGCACACCCTGCCCGGGCTCCCAGCATCGCTCTCGCGTGCAACGGGCACCTGTGAACTGGGACCAGCCGAGGGTTCTGCTGCAGGCGGAAGAAGGTTGTGTCACCCCAACCTCAGCCCACTGACTGCTCGTGCAGCAGGAGCAACCGGAGATACGGAGAAACAGAGGAGGGGGATAGGAGAGGAGGTGATGGAAAAGGATAGGAAAAGAGGACACTCAGAAATGGCCAGAAGGAAGACACGGTGAGACTGACACGATGAAGAAACTCCTGGTGAGTGTTCCCCTTGGACTTTCAGGGCCACCAGTGTGGCCTGAGCTCACCCGTAGACAGTTACAGCTGACAGAGAGTCGAACCAAAGGGCTGTTCCCAGCTGGAGCAGCTCTCAAAGCCTCTGCACAGCGGCACACCAGCGCAAGGCAGCATCTCTGCAGGACCTGACCAGCCTGGTGCTCACCGGAGCTCAGATGTTCCTACCGGGTGTTGGTACACCCCAGCCAACACCCCCTACCTCCAGCAGACAGCACTGGAGACATCTTGAAGATACACTTGCGTTTGCTTTGCAGCTATTCTAAGCAAGCAGCAGCTCGGTATTTATGGCAGAGCCTCACACCCAGCTCATCTTATTCCTCCTCTGCTGGCAAACCCCAGTGAAAGCCCCCCGGGCAGCCCCAGCCTCAGCCTCTGCTCGAGAGGCGCCCGGTCCAAAGCAAGGTCAAAACAGCTCCTGAGCATCACGGCAAAGACGTGATGTGCCACCCTAGCAACAGTTCTTCTGTCTTTTCAAAATTGTTTTCCTAAAATCCAGTTCATTCTCATTCAGCTGAAAAGTTATCAACATATGTTGATCTGCAGCCAGATATAGCCTGGGTGTTGAATGACACCCCTCTCTGCTAATCAGCATACCACACCATACCTTTTTTACTTAAGAAGTTATTTAACTTAGTGTTTGTTTTGTCAGATTGTTATTTTACGTTCCCACGGGCATCCCACATGTCTACAAAATGCATTTGGGTTTTTGAAGGAACACGGAGTTGCATGCAAAAAGGGCTGGCAAAAGCATTTTAAATGGCTTTCCGTCATTAAATAAAACTACCTGAATATTCAAGAGTGAATAAAAATGTACCTTGCATTCGAAACAAACTCATTAAATAGAAAATATTGTTAGGAAATGGGGTTCTTTCACCTGGGGCCAGCAACTCTTCGCTCCCCAGACATGGGGAAAGCAGCCCAATTTGCTGACCCACCAAAGCTGGATTGCCAAAGAGCTTGCACAGCTCCAAGCACCCACGGGGAGCTTTGAAACCCCACCAAAAGCACACGCTGAAACTCGGGACCTCAGCCTTCCGTGTTTATAATTAACAGAAAGACATTTCTGAAGCGCTCAGCCTGAGGGTGAGTACGGTGAGGGGGATGCCAGCCTTCCTCCTGAGCCCTGCTGTTCCAGGGGGAGCAGAGATCCTGCTCCTGAGCTCCCACCGGGCGGGTTTGTTTCAGTGTTTGAATTAGTCCAAGCGAGGTGAATATTCCCACCACACCAGCGAGATAAACCAAGCCTGAAAGCAACAAGAGCAAAAGCTATTCTGAATAACTATTCTATTCTTAATTCTAATAACAAGGACCAAAAGTACTGACATTTAGAAGAATGTAAATAGCAGCTTTTGCTCTGTTATGAGCTCAAAATTTGATACTTGCAGAAATACAGAAAACACTGTCAAGACATCTGGGAACCTGCATCCCAGACAACACTTTTGGGCTGGGGTTACCCTTGGGAGCCGCAGGGAATGGCGCACACCCTGAGCTGAAGGTCTTTGGCACGGACTCCCCCAGTGTCCTTACAGCCATTTTAATAGGACATGGGTTGGATAAGGCTGGTGGGAAATTGGACTGCCAGGTTGCGAGCAGCAATACAAATCCAACTGGTGGCCAATTCCTAGTGGTAACCTCTCAGTGAGCGATGCTGGGTCTGAAAATACCATTAAACATCTTCACCAGGAACTTGGGACAGGTGTGAGCAGGTTTGCAGAAGACACCAAACTGGGGAGAGCGACAGAAGACAGAACTGGTATTCAGAGGGACCAACAGTCTGGAGAAAGGGGCTGACAGGAATCCAATGAAACCCAAAGGAAAATGCAACATTCTGTGATAGGGACCAGGGCACATGTCACAGGATGGGCTGGAGGCACCAGGAGCTCATGGACTTCGGGCTGCCCAGGAGTCCACAGTGAAGGTAAAACTCATTGTGGCCTGGGTGAGCAGAAGGACAGCCAGCGGGGTGGGGACAAGGATCGTTCACTTCTACCTAGGGCTTGCAAGACCACAACCACGACCCAGTGGAAGAATGGAGAGAAGAAGTTTGGAGCCAGACTCTTGTCGGAGGTGTGCAGGGGCAGGACAAGAGATGATGGACCAAGCTGGGACACAGCGAATTCCATTAAATGGAAAAAATCACCATGAGAGTGGTCAAACACTGGATGGGAGCCCTGACGACCCACGGACCAATGCCCAAAGCATCTCCAACCTTCTGGATACCAAGAACGCAGCTCGACATGCCCACAAGCAACGTGATGCAGCTGCCCCTGCTCTGTGCCAGGGACTGGGATTCCTGAGCTCCCTTCTCAGCGACGAGCTGTGGTCCCACAACAAGGAACAAACCCAGGTGACAGATTTCCAGTCGGGCTTGTCCCTGGATGGCCAGGAGTCCAAGGTGGACACCCATGCCACAGACAAAGCCGATGCCAGCCGCAGTAGCTCCATCGCAACGTGGTGTCCCCGCTGAGGATCTGTCCCACGGCACCAAAAATCCAAAATCCCACCAGCAGCGCCCTGGGAATGGGGCCAAAATCCAGGCGGGCAAAGGCCAGGGATGTTTTCACACTAATGGTACGTTCCAGCCAGCCAACCGCCTTAACGCAAGCTCACCCCACACCGTTCCCCGGGTGACAGCTCCAACAGTCGCATCGGCACAGCTCACCCGTCAGGCGCTCACAGCCCGGCAGCGCTGCCTGCCAGAGCTGTCAGCTCCTCTTACCCGCAGCGCGCGGTGATGAGCCCGGCCGGCGAACGCAACCGTGGGACAACACCACCCGGTACCCAGCTCACCTCCCTGCCTCCCGCCCCGTCCTGCGCACGCGAGCCCGCATGCTGGGCACACACACAGCACCAGGCACAGCGTCCCAGGGTGGGGTTGCCATCCCCCGGAATCATGAAAAGCCACAGGAGCCTGAAGTTGGAGACCACCCAGGTCAGAAAGCAAAGCCCCGCAGCGGAGCGGTGCGGTACAGCGCCCGCCTCAGCCTCCCAGCGCTGGGGGGTCCAAACTACAGCCCCAAGGAGCTCCTCTCTCTTGGTGACCATTGGAGCCTAGAGGTGCTAAGAAATGCCCAAATTTTAGGAAAATCTCCCATGTCCTTGACTGGGAGGGCCAGGGCTGGGAGAGTTGAGGTTGTTCAGCCTGGGGGAGATGGCTCCAGGAAAACCCTCCGGCAGCAGTTTAATATAAAAAGGTGGCTTATAAGAAAGACAGAGGAAGACCTTTGGCCAGAGCCTGCAGCCGATCCGCTTTCTTAGACTAAGTGAAGTTTTAGGTGAGTTACCCAGCTGTACCAGTAAGCCTTAATCTCATTTAGGAGCAGCTCAAACATTCCTCCAGACACTGCAGAAACATGCAGACACTTCGGGTTTCTACACACATTGCAGGCAAACGTTTTTGCTGATCTATTTGGAAATGGGCTGCATGACTTTGCCCGCTATTTGCACACCAGAACTCACGAGCTCCAAAGCCAAGCACATCTCTCTTCTCCCTTCACCCCCTGGATCCCTCAACTGCCCGCAGATCCCCATCCTCCCATTACCAGAGCCACAGGGCAGAGACTCACCTGAGTTTTCCTTATCCGCAGATCAGCAGATGATCTGTTTAACCCTTCCTCTTGTTCAATACTCTGCTCAATACCTGGTGAGGGCAGAACGACACAGATTACTTTGTGCTGTTCCAGAGAAGGAAAAGGGTTTGTTTGACAAGGGGACTCTAAAGACTGAAGCCTGAGAGTCTAGGAGGATCTGGCACCGAGCAGTCCCCAGCTCCTGACTCGAGCTCATGATTTAGGCTGAACTGGCAGCAAAACCTTATTTTGTTACTGCAAAGCGCTCAGTGCCTGGCCACCAGCTGAGACTTGGTGCTGTCAAAGGCAGCACCCATCACCTTGAGGCTGGTAAGCAAGGATTCCAACATAAAATGTACGTAATGCTCGGCTCTGATCTCCACATTTTCTGGTACTCAAACAAAATGGAGTGCTGCTCTCTCCCTGCTAGGCAGGAGGAAGAAACCTGGAGCTAAAATGTCTCTGCAAAATACCAAAGCTCAAAGACTTCTCCAGGGACCCTAAAAATAGTAGGTCTGCCAGCTGCCTGGCCTTGCACAGGACCCACCAGGCTGGCGAGAGCGAGCCTCATCTTGCTAAACAGTCCTTCGCAGCAAAGCACAGATTTGCCCTTTTCATTACACCCCGTTGTGCAACTAAGTGAGATCAATTCCTCGCGTGCCCAAAGACCGTAAACGACAGCAGCGCGGAGCTGCTCAGAGTCCCGCCGTGGTTTGGGCAGGGAGAACCCAGCGTGGGCACAGAAAGCTCTGGGAAAGAGCTGGAAAACACCTGCACGAGCTCTGAGCACCCTCCTAGCCTCTCTGGGACGAGCATCTGTATCTGGAGCTTATCTGAAAGGTCCCGTCCTGCGCAGCCACACAGCCACGGAGTTTCTCCTGTGGACCCCCCTGCCTGCCCAGCAGATTCCATCAGCAACTGGTCTTCCTCCACACTTGTCATGAACCGTCCCCTGTTCCCAAGGAGCAGTATTGGCAAACATTGTGCATTTTCGTGAGACGCTCGTAATTAGAATTAGCCACTGCATGAGCAATGCCTGTCCTAAAGAAGTCAGTTTTTTGTCAGCAGATGGTGTTTTTGATCAGTCCTGATTGTTTTCTTTCATTGATCACACTGGCCAACGAAGCGATTTGGGACAAGCACTGATCATCTGTTGCTCCAGGTAAATACGATACCAGTGAGTCTTTTCTGGAAGAAGCAGACGGGAATTGGAGCCTGTCCTACAATCCTTCAGGCTCTGAAAGCCCCTTAAAAACCAGAACAAAGCATCTATGGAGAAGGAATTTTGTCTCACCCCGGCTAAACTCTGTCTCCATCTGGACACCAGGCATCCCAGTATGGCCAGTGGGGCTCTGGTCCATGGAATGGGATCCCTTGGTCTATGAAATGGGTGAACTGGCCTCTGCAATCCCTCCTGGGTCTACCTGAGAGCACGTGTAGGAGGACAGAGGGCAGCAAGGGGACAACAGAGGTCCAAGTCTCCTTCCAGCATACACATGGCACATGGCCAAGCCAGTGGTGACAAACCCGAAAAATGGCATTTCTGGTCACGGGGGATGAGTGGGAAGTGCTGAGCAATGGGGACATGTAGAAGGAATTAGGGCAGCATCCCTGGCCCAGGACAGGAGCTGCAGTACCCATCGCAGGCAAACACTCACTCTTTAGCTTGGAGCGCACTTTGTTCGCTGTCTTCTTTATGTCAGACATCAGCTCTTCCAGTTCCTCCTTTGTTTCTGGGGAGAAAGAAGAGAACAAACACGGATGTGTTGGAGACACCAGCTTAATTCTGCTGCAGGCTGCAGACTGGGAGTGCTTCCACGCCACGTACCCTGTGGGACTCTTCTCACAGTCCTGAGCCGGGAAACAAGCCGGTGGGGTGAGCAGGGAGCCACTCTGTGGGACCCCCTGCCCGTACAGCCCTAACCTGCCCCACAGCCAGTGCTCTGCAGAAAGAGGAAGGGAAGGGATATGTGAGCCATAGCCCTGGACCCTGTAGTGGAGAGAAAACCACTGCTGGACACCAAAAATCTTCTGCTCACCATGGGCTGAAGGAAAAAACGTATAATGAGGGTGGAAAGAAACGGGCAGAGGTTGCCCAGAGAAGCTGTGGATTCCCATGAAGTGTTCAAGGCCAGGTCAGACGGGGCTTTGAGCAACCTGGTCTAGCAGGTGGTGTCCCTGCCCATGGCAGGGGGGTTGGACTGGATCGTCTTTGAAGGTCCCCTTCAACTCAAACCAGTCTGTGATCTCAGCCAGGTTCCTCTCCCAGAACCAGAGTGTCCTCGAAGGAGCCAAGGGATGCACAGCAGCTTGTCAAGGACGAAGCCGTGTCCTCACTGTGGGACCCTCACTGCTCACCTCAGCAGTGAGACAAGCAGACTGCAATATCTCCAGTTCCAAATACTAAAGAAAGTACAAACCTTCTGCCATTCAAATGTGATTTCTTGGAAATGCTGCCAACCTAGTGCTCCCTCTTGATTTTGATGAGATCAAGACTTACTTAATTAAATAAAACTTTGTTTAATAGACTCTAGGCACATTAACTGAGTCATTTTGATGGCTGTGGTAGCTCTGATGCTGTACGCTCCCAGCTGCCAGTCACAGGCATAATTAGAAAATCATGATTATGGGAATGTGCTGGGGGAAGGTCACATTTTATCGACAGTTGTACACATCCCTGACTCAGAGCTTAGAGCTTTGGCACTACTGGGAAAAAAGAGAGAAGGAACACGTCTGCGAATACCTTCGCTCCAGGCTCCAGTTATTTCTCAGGAAGCCAACACAGCGGCCTCACCAGGGAAGTGGTACAATGATTTATTTGCTGGAGAACAAGCATGAATGCAGGGAAAGGAAGAGGATGTTTTCAGTTTGGGTCCTCACTTAAGTGACTAATTATTTCTTTTTTCCCCACCCTTGAAAGAACAGGTATGTAATAAAGAAACAAACCAGCTCGAGCTGACTAACTCCCTGCAGCCTGACAGGAGGATGAGGAAGCAGACAAAGACCACGGAGCCTGGGGAACAACCGGCTGCTACGAACAGGGGGACAGGCTGAGAGCTGGGCTTGTTCACCTGCAAAAGCGAAAGCAAAGGGGGTTCCTACCACCGCCTACATCTCCCCAGCAGAAGGGTGGAGAGAAGCTGGAGCTAGATCTCCCTCTGGTCCTTAGAGGTGACCATCAGCTGCTTGCTGAAGCTCAGAGATGCACAGGGAGAGGACAGGGGGTGATGGACCAAGCTGGGACAGGCAAAATCCAAATTAGATACTAGGAAAAAAATTTGTCATCATGAAGGCGGTCAAAAACAGGACCCAGAGGGGCTGTGGGATGTTGGTCCTTAAGGATATTCATCATGTCACTGGGTGAAGGCCTGAGCAACCTGATCAAACGGACCCGCTGGAGGATACTGGATCAGGGATCTCCAAGGTCCCTTCCCATTTATATCCACCTTGGATTCTTCAAAACAATTCACATAACTGGCTGCTGCGTGCTTTCCCTTCTCTTTTTTTGACAGGCTGCAGTGACGCTGTCGCCGAGGCCACACAGAGCGAGTGGTGAACGCGGACAAGCATCCCCAGAGCTGGCCACTCAGGGAGGGGACAGGAGGACACGGACAGACAGAGGGACACGGGACACGGACAGCTAGGCTGCCTTCCCTTACAATATTTCTAACTGAGCAGCAAGGAGAAAACACTCCTTCTGCCTGGCTTTGAGTCACAGGACGTGTGAGGATTACTTGGCGACCTGGCAGGCACAGGCTTCCCAGACAATTATTTTCACATCCATGGCGTCTGTTTAAGTGACTCACTCAAATCTATTTAACCATTCATGGCAAGTAACATTCCACAAACAGAAGCTGAAGCACCACAACATCACCGCCGAGGTGCCCACAGCGAGGAGAGCAGCGCTGAGGGGCAAGGCGTGACGTTGAAAGGGACGCGTGGTGACACCACACTGCGGTCCAGCACAGCCTCAGCCACTCGGGAAAGAGGGAAAACCAATTCCTTTGTGCTCCCCTTCCCTGTAGCTCCCCGAGTCCCCAAAATCATCCCCCATGCAACAGGGAAAGCGATGAGGAACTGGCACCCAGAGCTGCCACATCGGATGCTCCTCAAGGCAGAGGAGCAGGACCCTCTGTTCTCTGTTATCACGAAAGGAGGGAAAAAGCCTTCAAACCGCCCAGCAGTGAGGAGGAGGGCGCAGGAGGCAGGGACCAGACCTCCATCCTTCACATCTGGCTGACACCTGCCCACCACAGCACGCTTGAGCATCCCCAGGCTGGTGATTCTGCAGCCACGATTCAGCTCTCAGCCCTCAAAGCTTCCTCACATGGTAATTACTCAGATTAATAAACCTTCAGCTCTTTGTGACCTGCCATTATTTATTGGCAACAACCACCGTAATCAAGAAAAGTACAACTTCAAACTAATCCATAGCTGAGCTCTCTGGCAATGCTGGGAAGAAGGACCTTCCTGGCAAACACTTAGCTTTTTCTATAAAAAATTAAAGAAGATCCTGTCCACAGTTCCTCCAAGGAATTTTTTAAAAATAAACCTTTCTTGCCTTATACCACTGATGAGTCTGTTAATCTTGGCACTTACATTTATGAAATATAGGGTACTTTTTAGAGGCGAACACAAAGAGGAAGCCCAGACCTGGCAGCCCCCTCAAGCTATCTGGTCTTTGGCAACAAACCAGAAGAAATCCTTCCTAGAGATCTATGGAGTTGTTGGAAACATTTTCCATAGTGTTTCACAGACTTAAAGTAATGAAAGGTGTTTTAAAAACCACCAGACAGGCTGGTCCAGCCCCAAGCTGGGAACTACTGACCAGTTAGCCCAGTACAAGAGATTTGGGACATCAATAACCTCTACGCAGTCCTTTAATTCCCAAAGGCTGATGTTCCTCCTTGGAAATGGAGCTCAGAGTTTGACACTGCAACTTACTTATTCAAGCTACGTAAAACAAGAAGAAAAACCTAGTTTGCAAGACGCTCGCTCAACCCTTTCCTAATTTTCTAAAGTTTTCTCCACTCCGATCCACACAACAAATCACAGCAGGTATGAGAGAACGGGGGAGCACGCAGGCGGGTGGGCAGGAGAGAGCTGTGGGACCACCGCCCCCATCAGAGCTGGGATTTTCCCTTCCACGCAGAAGCAACACAAGGAGCTCCAGCTGCTTGCCAAGCTGCAGAAATAGGGCACAGCGGTGCCGTCCATCTGCCTTCGCCAAGAGCGAGGGCACGGAGATGTCCGGTACCATTGCGAGGAGCCAGCAGTCCTGGTTTTTTTTTTACTTCCAGCGTGCCAGGAGGGACAAGTCTTGCTCGTGATGCAGCAAGGAGAGACGCTGCCGGGACTTGATAGCGGTGCAAAACGTCACAAGGCTTTAACAAAGGAGCAGAACAGAGGTGACGCATGGAAGGGTCTGGAAAGGTCTTGTGGATCCCCTGGAACTAAAGGTGCTTCCCAAAATGCCTGGGGGTGATCCATAACAGATTAAAACTGTAGCTTTTGACTTTGTAAGTCACTAAAAAAGGAGCCAGGCAAGCTGTTTAACTGATGCTTCTATTACATATTTTTCAGTCATTATGGGTAACATCGGTGGGTAACTGAGCTTAAAAAATCCCCTTTCATATTAGCAGCGACAGATCACATTTCACACATCCTGAAGCCCAGCGCGCTCCTCGCCGGCTGATGGTCCAGCCAGGCAAAGGCACTGAGCTGCCATCACTAAAAAGTGTTGAAACGTCCATCTGAGCTGCCTGCTCGGACAAGGATGCTGGGAGTTTGACACCACTGATGAACTGGCCACAGGCAGCCTCGCACCCAGGAGCCCGGCACACAAAGCCCTTCCACAGCCTGTCGCTGAGCTCGGTGACAGCTGAGCCACCCTCTTGGCTGTTCTCATCCCACAGCCATCCTCTGACAGCTCCTGTCACTCCAGGCTGGTCTCAGAGCCAGAAACCCACCCTGGGAGGTGAATCTCAGGATGAAGGGAGAAGCTCGTTGCTTCCTTATAATCCAGCAGCACAAGCGATGGGACAGAGTTTGCTTGCAGCAAAATATTTTGTTTTGGTGCCAAACTTGTGCAAAAGGTAGGGGAGAAAGAGACGGTGTGGTGCAGCGCCTTGTTCCAGTTGCTCTTTTTGCTTCCCTGAAGTTTCGGGGTGCCCACCTCTCCGGGAGCAATTAGCTGGCTGATGAGCGGAGGAAAACTGCTCAGATCTATTTTTACAACACCGAACCGCACTAATTGTCTTGCCCTCCTTTAACTCTCTCCATCGGATTCCACTTCAAATACTCCATTATTTTTCCCAGAAGCAAGGTCGGGTTGATCAGTCAATAATTACCCAGCTCACTCCCGCTCTTTCTTTAAAAAACCGTCGCCGTGCTACCTCCTGAGCTTCTGATACCCATCGGGTATGCGGAGACTTATTGGAAATCAACACTAATGGCAGAGGCACCATCTTACTCAGCTCTTGGAAAACTTCCTGATCGATAACTTCAGGTAGACTGGATCTAGCAGTGTCTATTTTTGGCACCAACTGTTTAGCAACAACCTGAATTAGCGTGAGAACGTTAAGAATTTAATCATCGCAAGACACGTCACGTGTTTTCTCCACATCTCCCCTGGCCTGTCTGGTGGAGTAGTCCCCTCGGGCAGGGGCAGGACCAGCGCTGCTGGGAGGAGAGGGCTCCCATGGGGAAGGTCCACCAGCACAGCTCCCTTCTG